TATCTTATTTTATTTTATTTGCTGTATAAATCCAGCTTAACAATGGAACTTTTTCCTACCACACTGATGAAGGGTTAATAGAGACCTCATGTTATGTAGTGTGGCAAGCTGTTAATTGTGAGATCAACACGAATTGATAATTGCTATTTTTAAAGTAGGTATTTTAACAGAATATGAACTTCGTTAACCAGTCAGAAACAACTACTTCGAGGGCAAATACCCCTACCGGCGTTGAATTACACTCTGATTGGTCTGAGCTAACCTAACAGAAATGAATAGCTTGTTTTAAGGCCGTTTTACAGCTTGCAATTCTATCTACAAGATGCAAGAAACTTGAACGAGGGCATGCGCAGAAGTGAGTCAGCTGATTGGTTTCTGCAAGATTCTTCGAACTTGAATGGCATTGCTTGCAATCGGTTTGGTGCCATTTTTCTTGAAGGCTTTCGTGCAAGCTGGGGAATTTTTAGCAATTATGATGCTTAAAGTTGCTGCTATTGCTTTCTTCTTTTTATATCGACTTATAATCACTTTTTATTTTTGAAAAATGCAAACATCAGCAACACAACAATTAAAAACAAAAAAGTATGGTTAAGATTAGAGAAAGAAACAAGTCAAATTGCAAGGTGTAAAACGACGTGCAAGAAATCTTGAATGCATTTTTTTTGCATGCAAAAAATTGCATTCAAGTTTTCTTGCAAGCTGTAAAACGGCCTTTAGGAAAAGAAACAGGAACGTAATTTCAAGTTTCCAGAAAACCAAGGATCGGAAAAGCCCAGCAGGGGTGCGATTTTCGAAACCATTCGGTACATTTCGTACACGAAATTTGACTGCTCCCCATTTAATTTACATTGCTGTCAGTCAAATTTCGTGTACGAAATATAGGTACTCGAATGGTTTCGAAAATCGCATCCCAGTTCTTGACGTCTTGACAACGCTTGATTAATGGTTTATCTGTCAAGATAACCGATCGGTCAATCGCTTAAAATTGGCTATTGTTTTTGGCTTCGACAGTGGCGTAGCCAGGATTTTGTCTTGGGGGGGGCAAATTTGCAGGAAGTGTTTCCTGCGGCCCCGCCGCGACAGCTGCTAGAGGCAAAGCGCCGCAGGCGCGAAATTTTTGGGTGCCACGTCCCTTTTTTAGGTTTCTTTACGCTATTTTTGGGACTGTTTATTTCAGTTTTGAAGAATTATTCATAAAATTTAAGGGTCTTGGGGGGGGGCAAATGCCCCCTTGCCCCCCCCCGTGGCTACGCCAGTGGGCTTCGACCATTCAACGCACACTCTCTCTAGACAAATAACGGCAATAATTTGCTATGGAACTTGTTTGGTTCCAGAATGAGACCAGGCCCTCTTTCTCGCACTTATGAAAATAGAATGTTTATAAACCAGTCTGTTTATGTTTTGGGTATCAGAGAGCTGCGTTCGAAAACCTGGTTGTTGGTGTGGAAATTATTTCAGGGAGTGCATCTTCAAAATGTGAGCTTAAATTTCACTCTAGAGTATTCGGTGCGCACATCAATACGTGTCAAACACCCTTCCGAACGCCGAAAACCATAGGCGATTTTCAGCCTGGAATGATTATTATTTGGTTATAACCAATGCATTTCCGCCGTCGCGGTTTTAACCAAAGTAGGGGAAGTTGTGACGTAACATATCAGCTGATTTGCTTTTGGTATTTACCACTTATAATCGATTATAACCCAGCTTTGGACTTGGGTTAATCTTTTGGTTACAGCTTTTTGATGTTATTATTATTATTTTTGGAATTTGTATTGGTGTTTTATGATTTTACAGTTGCGTTGTAGCCTGGCACAATGAAATAAGTATACATTCACTCACTCACTGCAATTCACCATGTTTAGGTCGAGGTTTAGATCATCCCCAAAAATAAACTGTTCGATAAACCAGACTAACGAGAGATTCAGCTCCATTTTTTGTACCTAAACAAAAAACTATTGTTGAAACGTAAAAACAAATAAGAATAATAAACATAATCCTACACTGCTATAACCAAATCATTTCAGCGGTCAGTTCCTTGCGTTATGATTCTTGAATGGTGGGGGGCTATGACGTCACACTTAGCTGTCAAAGTTATCAACCAAAAGAATAACCACGGTATTTACCGATAAATAATCATTCCAGCCTGAAAATCGCTTCATATGATTTTAATCCACACTTCGCCTTTCCGAACGGCAGCTGTGTGATTTTTATACGCCACACCAGGTTCTCGAACGCAGTCAGCTGATTTGTCACAAGAAAGTTGAGAACACCATGGGTGCGTTCAAAGACGGCAATGCTAATGCCAAAACCTACTTTTCCCCCTCCACTGGTAATGCCGAACCACGTAGGTTGGAGCCAAACTTGAACGCAAAATGCCAATTTTGGCTTGGCTGTAGCCATTCCTGAATGCAGCCCATGAGAACACAAAACAATTACTACGTTATTGCCAGACTGTAAAATCTTTCTTTAGAAGTAGGTACGTAGTTCCATTTAAAACCAAATTGAGTCGTGATAAAAGGTATTGTGGTTTTAGAATTATTTTAAGTATAGACTTAAAAAGTCGCAAGTATATTTTTAATATTATTATAAGCAGACAAATTTGAAATAGATACTTTTCGATACATGACGATATCCATTATTATCGAGATTAATATTCGAAAAGGGAAAAATTCGGCAACAGGGCCTTTTTTCGTTTTGTTTATCGGATGAATCACCCCTCTGACCCCGCTACCTCATTATGGAACAAAACAAATATGCTTGTTGATCCCTCTAGCAGTTTAAAGCTCGATGGTTTTTGGTAATCGCCGCCATATTGGTGTGTCACCATTTCCGACGTCATAACTAACTCGTCAGCTGTTTGCACTAGCGGTCGTAGTTTATAATTTAAATTTATGATGAAAAATATTATTTAATTTTGTTATAACATAATAAGCACAGAGAAAGATGGAAAAGAGATCTAAAAAAAGAGTTGTTGCAGAAAAACCAAGTATGCATAAAGCAGAAGCCCGTGGAATCATAACCTGTGGTGCGAACAGCCTACGTCAAGGCGAGAAAAGACATGCTACCTACGTCACAACTAGTGTATATTATCCTTGGATGTTTTCTGAGTGACGTTACCTATGAAATATTTTACACTCAGTTCATGTTAGTGCAGCACAGAGAAACAAAATTAAAACTCGACCCTAATAGTTGTATTCCTTTCACACCTAGGAGAAGCTTCGGAACAGCTTCGGAGCGTTATGCGCTTATTCCTTTCGAGAAGTGTTAGTTGCACCACGCATCTGTTCCTTCCAAATCGGAGGCGACTAAGGGCGAGTATTATAAAACTACTTTGAGAGTTAACTTAAAGTTAACTTCTGGAATTACGTGTAATTCAATAAGTTCAAGTTAACTTTTTGAATTACATGTTATTCCAGAAGATAACTTTAAGTTAACTCTCAGAGTAGCTTTATAATACCCACCCTAAGGGCGGGTATTTTAAAACTGCTTTGACAGTTAACTTGAAGTTAACTTTTTGAATTACGGGCGGGTATTAGAAAACTGCTTTGACAGTTAACTTGAAGTTAACTTTTTGAATTACATGTATTTTCAGAAGTTAACTTTAAGTTAACTCTCAAAGTAGTTTTATAATACCCGCCCTAACACCGGAGCGAGTAGCTCGAGTGTTTTATAGTCTTGAAAGGAATACAACAACTATCACATTGGAACGAACTGTAAATATTCGTTGGAGCAAACTGTAATATGTAGTAATAATAATAATAATCTAATCAAAGTTGCCAGATCCAGAATAGGACCATGCGCAAATCTGTTTACGCATAAAATAGGACATGACCGAGACGATATTCCGAATTTTCATTTGGACTGAGTTCGGCTTTGCACTCTGTAAACTCTGAGAAGGCTCGAAACGATAAGATCCTGTTCGTTTTAGCTCTCAGAGTGTTCTCTTTTGCGTTGGGCTTATGACCGCGTATGACGTCACGATATCCATGCTCAGACCGTTCCGCTCCGTGGAGTGCAAAGCGGCAGGCTATTCTCTACAAACGAACAGCAATCACATAGCAACCAGCAACCGGTTGCAAGTTGCTTTTTTTGAATAGAAAACTCGCGTTTGACAGCGACAATTGCGCAATTCTCTGTGGTCGCAAGTTGCAGAATAATGCCTCATTCTCACTTGCGCGAAATTCGCTCTTTTTTTGACATTGCTTCGACAATTTAACGTTTGATACACGCATAAAACGTCAAATTGTTGAAGCAATGTCAAAAAAGAGCGAATTTCGCGGTTATGAGTACTAGGCTTTAGGCTGCCGAACTCAGCCTTTGGTTCATCGCTGTACAATGACACTGAGTGTATCTGCATCTTTTTCTAAAAGGATGTAAAATATAAGGATAAGGATAGATTTGTTTTGCACTGATTCTACAAATAGAAATCGCTATTAGAGTCGGTTCCGGAACGATTCTGAGCCGCTTACCCGGGCTGCGTTCAGGATTGGCTACAGCCAAGCCATTTTGCGTTCGAGTTCGGCTCCAAACTACGTGGTTCAGCATTACCGGTGAAGGGGGAAAAGTAGGTTTTGGCATTAGCATTGCCGTCCTTGAACGCACCCCAGTATGCACATTGGCGCGCTCTAGAGCACCTCGGGGGCGCCACGCACTAGATTTGTACCGTTCCAGTATCATGACGTGAGACGCCTGTCAAATATGTCAAATTTTAAAAATAATTATCTGTTTGTTTGTGCAGTTTGTTTTTTTATTTATCATAAATGAAAGAGAACCAAAACTATATTTTTTAAAATACTCAATCTCAATCATCAATCAAGAAATAAATAAATAAATAGCCACCCACGGATGTGACAGCTGACAGGTTGACGCGTACGTATAGCTCGGGAGCTCAACGCCCCGAGTAGCTCCGGGCGTCACACTCCCATACTGGAAAGCGGCTCTGATATGGCGCTCTGACCAGTATTGAACCAGTTCCAAAATCTGATTCAGAACGACCGGAACAAAGTTAAGATTTTTAGTTGTCGTTGTGGGGGGTTACCACCACTATTCTACGCTGGTGGGGATCCGAAAAAAAAAGTGTCAATTGTCGGTGTTGTTTTGTCCCGGGGTTCGCTTTTCGCTTGTTGTTGTCCCTATTTATCAGCAACTGCAAACAATAAATTGCTGAGAAACGCAAAACAGGTTAGTAATAAGTCAAAGTTTAATTTTTTTTAAAAACTTTATAGTTTCTAGGAAAGACGGTCAACATGGATTTCAACTTTTCCGCATTTCAAGAGCCCCGTGGGGTAATGAGAGTTCTACATTTAGTAAGTAGATAACCTTTAATACCTATCTTATTTTTTAATTTATATATACCTGATTATAATAATCATTATTCGCTCAATTATAGAATAAGTGGGTGTTTTTTTATTTTCTCAGATGGGTCAATCTGAGGGTCAATCCTATTAAATGTACCTACATATTAGGTTTTTACCAATTTCAATTTGACTGGGGAATAGTGCTTTTGGAATTATTATCTGTTATCTCTGGCTATAATTTTTTTTTATTGAAGTCTTTGAGTTGAGTCTTGTAGACATACTCTCAGGAGCCTGAATCCAGAGTTTCATAACTTTGGTGGGTAGCCTTTAAGCCTAAATATATGCTTTTTGGATCATTTAAGTTAACAACCATTTAACTATTTTATTTTCCATTGTATTTTGCATAATTTCACAGATAAAAATAAAACAGTAAGTAGGTACTTATTTAAAAAAAAAAATATTTGTAGTAAATTTGGCTGCCACAAAATAGTCTAATCATAAAATAAAACATCTACTTAATTTAGCAATAGTAACAAACTTGACATTCCACCTTTGTGTATTTAGGCAAGAGAATTTTGAATGTTTCTAACATTATTGTTGAATTTGGCATACCTTTGTTGAAGTTATGAGATGTAAAAGACAAATCGAATCAAAATATGCTTATAGTCAGAAAAATAATAATCAAATTTCATTGACAAAGCAAATACCCAAAGCCAGATAATAATAAATCGAATAATAACAATAACAACATTCATAACGAGCACAACCACAGATAAAAATGCTAAAAATAGAAAATTCTAGGTATCAGTAATTGAATGTTAGGTATTAAAAGGTCTTGTTGAATATAGAGATGCATGTGTGTAGAATCTTTGAATTTTTTATAGACAAGACAAACTGTTTCAGGTACAGTATATGAAGAAAGACTACATCATTTCTAGTTTTTGTATTTGGAGAATGAAAAGCTAGTTTTGAATTATTGTGTAAAAATAAATTTTGGATTTATAAGTTTACCTTTGGAGCAGTGGCGTATTAACCCAGCTCCGGGCCTGTGTGCCAAAATTTCCGCGGGCCCATTACAGGTCCTCTTTATGGGTGCCACGGTACGCCAAAATTTTGACCCACAAGTTGTTCAATAAACACTCCTAAATTTTTTTTAGGTATATTTTTCCTTGAACGTTAAATTGTGAATTCATTATTTTCGAAATTGGTATGGATAACTATGTATAGTATTTTCAATCCGACTTGCAACACTTGAAAAACCTCTAGTCGGCATACATCAGACAAAAAAAGGGCATGGGCGTCACATAAATTTTATTTCTTTAAATGGTGATAATCGATATCAAACAACACAACTAAATAATACGCGGAATAAAATAGCAAATAATATATAAATTGGGATGACACTGGTTATAGAAATCACGTAGTCTATTCAACAGTTGCACCTACATCGTTCCCGAGAAAACATAAGTTGCCCACCCCAATAATTAAACCTATAGGCATGTGCCGACTTAAATTATTAATTTCGTCGCTACTTATATTTCATAACGGGTGATTATCTATATTTTGCACCCATACCTATCTCACCTGCTTGAAGAGATACCCAAAAATGTCAAATGTTAAAGTTCTAGGTAATATCGGAAACTTTGCAATTAAAGTTAGTTACAAGTATACAGGGTGTATCACAAAAGTGTGGCGAAGCAAAGTTATACTTTTTTAAATGGAAGACCCCGTATATTATTGACCTATCGGATTAGCCTTTTAAACCTGATTCTAAATATACTAGGTTTTTAAGGTTTATTTCTCATAGTCCAGCCTTTGAATTTCCCATTTTGAAGAAATGATATGGATTTTTAATTGAATGATTACCTACCTGTATATTTTGCTGGTGGTCTCTATATTTCACCTTTTTCAATAAAAATGCAATTATTTCGCCCCTTTTTTTCTTATTTTCTCCCGGACTATTAGGAATAAACCTAAAAAACCTAGTATATTTTTGAAAAGCTAATCCAATGGGTCAATAATAAATGGGTGTGTCCATTTAAAAAAGTTCAACTTTGCTTTGCCACACTTTTGTGACTGTACAGGGTGGCCCAAATTCGAGCCTCATCATTGGGATCTTGGTAACCTTAAGAGATACGAGGTCGGTTAAATTATGGCAAATTTTCGTAATTTTATGACCAATAGAATACCGTTTTGAAATTAGATAGATTCTGAATACTTCTGGAGATATTCGGAAAAAAACCAAAATTTTGTAAAATCGTTTTTATTTTTTTCCTGGGCTTATTTGAAGAGCAATTTTGAAATAAATGTCACTTCATCATTGTCACTTTTCCGCTTTAGACAACGGTGCTACTGATTTTAAAATTCGATGTTTCGTCTTCAGGCGGCCATTCTCAACTTCCTTTTTTTAAATACGGACTTGAATTTTTTATTTGCGACTTTGTCATCTTTAGGCATCCTAAAACCGATACTGTTCATAATTTTTCAATAACACATTGAAAAAAGCAGGTCCAAAAGAAAAAAATTGATGATGATTCCAGAGGAAAGAAACGTTGGATTTCAATTTTAATACCGCCATCTTGTAGAGAAGAAAAAGTGACAATGGAAATGTGAAATTAGTTTTTCAAAATCTTTTTAAATAAAATCAGGAAAAAATAAAAACTATACGAAAAAAACATAAATTTCTCGTTTTTTTTTAAATGTTTTCCTGATTCCATTTAAAAAGATTTTGAAAAACTAATTTCACATTCCCGTTGTCACTTTTTCTTCAAAGATGACAAAATCGCAAATGAAAAATCCAGATCCGTATTTAAAAAAGTAAGTTGATGATGGCCGCCTAAACACGAAACGTCGAATTTCAAATTTAGTAGCACCATCTTCCAAAGAGGAAAAAGTAACAACGATGAAGTGACATTTATTTTAAAATTGCTCTTCAAATAAGCCCAGGAAATAATAAAAACGATTTTACAAAATTTCGTTATTTTCCGAATATCTCCGGAAGTATTCGGAATCTTTTTAATTTCAAAACAGCATTTTATTGGTCATAAAATTGCGCAACTGTGCCATAATTTAACCGACCCCGTATCTCTTACGGTTTCCGAGATCCCAATGATGAGGCTCGAATTTGGGCCACCCTGTACATAACTTCATTGAAAACTTTCTGATATCACCTACAACTTGCAAATTTGACATTTCTGGGTATCCCTTCAAACAGGGGAGATAGGTGTGGGTGCAAAATATAGTTAATCAACCGGTACATACAGGAGGGAAACTTACAATAGATTTTCTATGAAATTAATAGAAGAAGAGCGACATGATGCTGAAACATCCTTGTATAATGCAGTGTTTCAAGTCAGAATAAAAATACTATACCGCTGCCGGTATTTTTTTGCGCGTAGATAGACTATTGCCCATACATTAATCAATATTATACAAGCAAAAAAATAAAAAGACAATTAATAATTTTAGGTCTTTTATCTTTTGAAATTTTTTTTTGCGGTTTCGATATGGGCTCACGGGCCCCTTTCGGAGCCGGGCCTGTGTGCTTCGCACACATGGCACACCGGTAGATACGCCACTGCTTTGGAGGATGCAACTCGGGATGTAAATTGAAATTTAGTTATTGCAATTGTGGAAAATAGAAATTGATTTTTGAAATCCCCAAAATTACCTTTACGTTTTCTTAAAATCAAATTACTATTTTAAATTTCTCTTTCCTAAATTCAAACAATCATCAAAATTTTCATTCTAGGTACCTATATTTCCCAGAATTCAAATTTAATTTCCAATTGCTATTTAATAGTTTCCAAAGGAGATGGCACAGATAATATGGGCGGTGGCCACCGGCTAAATTGGCTGGGATTTTAGTATGTTATAGAAGATGTCTTGCTGAATAATGTTTCAATGGAACAAATTTTTCTATGGGCCATAGTAAGGCCACAAATAGCAATTGAAGTTTAGAAATCCGTAATACCAATTTAATTATTATGCACTACACAGAGGTTCAATTGCAATGATTTTCGAATAAGTTGTTTAACAAAAATAGGCATCTCTAAACTACTGGACACTCGAACTTTCACATATTACAGGTTTTTACGCAAAATTCAAAGTTTCATATTTTCGACACGAATAAAGTTTTTTTAAAGCGGTTTGTGGATTTTAATAGCCTGTTCTTTCCAGATAAAGCTTGCCGTAAATTTCTCATAGGACCATAGGGTTATAATATGCGGCGCGATAAAATTGAATTTTGCCTAAAAATCTGTACTTATGTGTTAGTTCAAGTGTCCAGCAGTATATGTATTTTTGGTATGAGAACCAATAACTTTTATCTACAGGGTGGTCAAAAGCCAAAGAGTTACGCGGGATGAACTGTGTGGCTGAAAAAAGTGGGTATCATTTTTAAATGGAACACCCTGTATTTTTTATGATATTTAGAAAAGTGGCACTTCTTCACATCTATTCTGTTGACATTATTTGATATTTCAATGGGTATTCTTATTTTATTTTAATGTTTTATTCTTAATACGTAATTTTGGCTTTACCTGTTTATTTTAACAAAGTTTAAATAGCTCATAATTTATTTTCTCAATTTTTGACCACCCTGTAGATAAAAGTTAATGCGGTTCTCATACCAATAATATAAATGCCTATTGTTGTTTAACAACTAACTACATAGTCGTTGCAATTGAACCTCTGTGTTCTCCATAATAATTAAATCGATATTGTGGCCTTACTATGGCCCATAGAAAAATTTGTTCCATTTAAACATTTTTTAACAAGACATCCTCTACAACATACTAAAATCCCAGCCAATTCAGCCGGTGGGGCCACCGCCCATGTTATTTGTGCCGTCTCCTTTCAAGTTTCAATTCCAAAATTAAAGTTATACTCACCAAAAATAGAATAACTGTTCCATATTATAAATTATAATGTTTAAATTAGGTACAAGTGGAAATGGTGTAGTAGGAGTTAGAATGTTTGCTCTTTTAAACAATGGTTTACAGTGCTCT